CCACTGTATATATATATATATATATATATAATGTATAATGTTATAATGTACGTATATGTTACACAGATAAATCAACTATACTTTAAAACAACAGATTTTTATGATAGTTTGCGAGGTTATATTAATTAGGCATTAGGCTAGAGCTGTACATGCATACAGCTGCAGCTATCCTTACTTTGCCCATATATGTACAGTAAATTGATTTATGTCTTGCAAACATGCAAGAGGGCTTAAATAGTACTGCTGGACTTTTCGATTTTAGGACTCCCAGACTGTTTTATTGCTCAGTTCAGTGAATGAACGGTTTCTAGGAAGCCGGATTATGTGTGTACACGGCACACGCAGCCGGTCTATCGTGACCAACGGTCGTTAATATGCATGCGTAGATCGTTACAGCCACTGACATGTTTCTCCAATCATCGTTCCAGTGTCAATTTGCACCTGCGTCGTCGTACGTTGCTGACGACTATATCTCTGTGAGCACAGTTTCATTCTGTCCCTGCACCCACACACCACTGATGTGTTTCTCCATCGTTGCAGTGTCAATTTGAGCCTGCATAGTGCACCACTGACTACTTCATCATTACAGTCTGAATCTATCCCTCTATCACACACACCACTAATGTGTTTCTCCATCGTTGCAGTGCCACTGCCAATCTGAGCCTGCGTAGTGCATCACTGACTACCTTCATCATTACAGTCTGAATCTGTCCCTGCGTCGTACATCACTAGCGAGTGTATCCATCGTTACAGTCACAACCTCCCCCCACATCGTACATCATTGGAGAATACCTTCTTCGTTACAGTCTCAACGTGTCCCTGCATCACACATCATAGACGAGTAGTGTCTCCATCGTTACAGTCTCAACCTGACCCATCATAAAACACCACTGACGAGTGTATCCATCGTTACGGTCCCAACCTCCTTCAGCATCGTACACCACTGGGGAATACCTTCTTCGTCACAGTCTCGAACATAGAACATCATTGACGAGCAGTGTCTTCATCGTTACAGTCTGCACCTGACCCATCATAAAACACCACTGATGAGTGTATCCATTGTTACGGTCCCAACCTCCCTCAGCATCGTACATCACTGGGGAATACCTTCTTCGTCACAGTCTCGAACATAGAACATCATTGACGAGTAGTGTCTCCATCGTCACAGTCTCGAACATAGAACATCATTGACGAGTAGTGTCTCCATCGTTGCAGTCTCAACTTGCACCTGCACCGTGAGATTGAGCTACTGCACTATCGGACAGGCCTTCAGACGCAGCACATCCACCAGATGGAGGCGAGCATGATGGTGAGCGAACCCAAAAATGGAGAGGTCGCCTACCTACGCGATGAGCTGCAGGCCCTGCAGTCCAAGTATGACAGGTGAGAGCACGTGAGCTTAGAGTCCTATATACAGAGAGTAGCGCCAACTCAGGATTTGACTCCATGTTGTTTCCAAATGTATCAACACCGCCTGCCCCTTAAGTACAGCGCTGTATGGATACGCTGTTCAATGATCCGTAGTAATTAATTAGATAATCGTGCTTCAATAAACTCAAAAATTACAGAGATTATAGCTAAGACATGTGTATATGTGTAGCTAGATTTATAGAAATGTAACTCAAATCGTTTCGCGCCATATGATAGTTTATTGTACACTTCTTACCGCCCAATAGCCGTGCGTATTTAGCCTGTGCGATACCGCACGTAGACACCTGCTAATTAATTAAACCACTCGCGCTTCAATAAACTCAAGAATCACAGAGATCACAGATAACACATGTGTTTATATGTATTTAGATTTCTAGAAAAGTAACTCAAATCGGTTCGCGCCATATGATAGCTTAATTGTACACTTTCTTAGTGTAAACAACAGCAGCTAGTCACTGTAATTCACAAGATAAATGCGTTCCACTCTCCACTCGCTCGCAGCTGTAATATTTGCTTTGCATTTCTATAAATCTAGCTACACATAGACACATGTCTTAGCGTATAATCTCTGTAAATCTGTGAGTTTATTGAAGCACGATTAGTCTAATTAATTTACTATGGACCATTGTAAGCGTATCCATACAGCGCTGTACTTAAGCGCAGCGGTGTTGATCCATTTGGAAACAACATGCCGGCGAGCGATCACACGTGACCGATTTTTTCCGACTCGTCATGGCGCATCTCTCTGTATATAGGGACTCTAACGTGAGCGAGGGATCGAGCATGAACGTGCATGCGTGAATGTGTGTGTTATAACATGATATGTGTGTGTGTGTGTATGTGCCTTGTGCGTCGTGTGCCGTGCTCGTGCATGTGCGTGTGCGTGTGGCGTCGTGCGTGCTGCGTGCTGCGATACTGCGTGCGCGCATTTGCTGCGTGTGGCAATTGTGTGTATAATGTGTGTCTTGTGTGTGTGTGTGTGTGCAATGTGTGGTGTTGGTGTGTGTGTGGTTGTGTGTCTGCGTGTGCGCGTCTGCGTGTGCGTGTGCGTGTGCGTGTGCGTGTGCGTGTGCGTGTGCGTGTGTGCATGTGTGTGTGTGTGTGCATGTGTGTGTGTGTGCATGTGTGTTCGTATGTGTGTGCATGTGTGCATGCGTGCGTGTGTGCGTGCATGTGTATGCGCATGTGTGTGCATGTGTTTGTATGTGTGTGCGTGTGTGCACGTGTGTGTGCGTGTGGTGTGTGTGTGTGCGCGCGTGCACGCATGTGTGTATGTATGGTGTGCACGTGCAGGTATGTGTGTGTGCTTGTTTGTTTGCTTGTCCAAGTAAATGTGGATGCATGTGTGCATGCGTATACATGTAGTCGCACGTGTGTGTTTCAATGTAGTCTGTTGCCACTGTGTGCCACTTATGATTTATGCATTGCAGATTGATAGAAAGCCACCGGAAAATACAGAAAGTCAATCAAAATCTCGAGGAAAAGGTGCTTAAAATAGTAAGTCGATGATATGTAGCGATTAATAAATGTTTCAGAAACATGATTGAGTGTAAATGTTACATGATTGGTCATAACATCAGGGGTTTAATATGCTTGGAATAAGACAGCTATTCTCCTAGGGTTACAATAATATTTTGCAGAGTTGTTCATTTTCTGTCCATACACTAATTGTGCTTGATATTCTTTGATATCTGTGATAATTGTTTTTATTTAGTATTAGTGTTCATATTCATGAAGATAGCATCGTAGGTTGTTTAAAGTTATATTATCCTGCAGCATTTTGGTGATACTTTTAGTTCATAAGTCAAATATTCTATTTTAATGTAGCACGTTACAAATAAATCTGTTGCATTTTTCATCCTATACAATGTTATATATAAAGGGTTGATAAGAGATATGGCAGACAAATTGAATACTGATTTGATAATTGTGAATATTCAGGTAATTGTTATATACGATTATATACAGAGGGTTTATAAGCAGACACAGCAGATCTAGACAAATTGAATACTGATTGGATGATTATGGATATTCAGGTTGACCAATGTGAGACAGAAAAATCTACTCTTAACAACGAAGTGACCATACTCTCTGGAAAACTGCTTGATGCAAAGGTCACACTCTGTGATCTGGAAGATGAAAACGTGAGTATAATAAGGCATTACAGCTTAATCAATATTGCATAGGTTTAATGTCATCAATCAGACTATAGGCTTTGAGAGAGCTGCGAAAACACACTTGGATAACTTGGCCCTATACACGGGTTACTCTAGTACACTTACACACTACTTCTAGTTACCCTAGTGTTATCCTACACAGTCTCCTCCCGTTAATCGTTACCATTTTTATACTGCGCGGAAGTGAATGTTTTACGTGTGACGTTTTGGATTTCGTGGTCATTAATATCCGATGTGACGTGCAGGAGCGGCTAAGGAATGATTGCAGTCTTGCTGTGCAGCTACTACAATGCAAGCCTTCCAACTTTGTCTCACAGAAGCTCGAGTCCGTAAGTAATATCAAATCGTTATTCGTTTTACAACCCAAACCACAACATTGCGAGCGCTTGCCGACTAATTTTACATGTAATCTACATGATAAAATTTGAATTTTACAGCAAAAAATTTGAATAAAACATTACGCTAGCCTCCACGTTTCGTAATGTAGGATATTGCATATTGCCCAAAATATTAACGTTCAGCTGCGTTAAACGTGCTTTCACCACCTGCGTGACCATGCATGCATGCGCAGTCCCCTGTTCTTCGCAACCCTGCGTCACCCTACCATAGCTTGTAGACGAGCATTGTTCTCTTCTCTCTCTCTCTCTCTCTCTCT